GTAGAAAAAAAGCTAGAATTTTGGGGGGAGGAGTTTTTGCTGTATAAAGCATATTTTTCTTATAATAGCTTAGCACTTGGTCAGTAGTAACTGTATTTTGAAAGTGCCTGTGTCTTCAGGCACTCCTGACTTCATGAAGGTTCTCTTTGTGGTTTCTTTTCTGGACTTAGGATGATCGATACATTGTGCGTGGAATCAGTACCTCAGAGTTTAGTGTTTTCCTGCGCTACGATGATACAGGATACTGTGGATTCTCATACATACAGTGCTGGGTGGTGGTCCAGGTTGGTGGCTGGGCATGGTGGCTTGGGATAATGACTGGGCTGGTGGCCGGGGGCTGTGGCTTCCAGTGAGTGATGAAGCCATGGCTGATGAAAGCCTTACCACCTTGTAGTGTTTGATGGCTTAGGGGTATTTGACGCATATTTATTTTGGATATTTCCACCTAACCACACCTTATTGGGATGCAGCCCCATAATGAGTCTCAGAGAAGCAACTGAAGTGAGATTCACTTCTTGGAATAGGCAAACATTGTGATATAAACTGTCTTTAAAATATCCTTATTCAAGCCAGGAGCTGGTGGCTCACACCTGTAAAGCTAGCTACTCTGGAGGCTTAAGATCTGAGGATCACTGTTCAAAGCCAGCCCAGGCAGGAAAGACTGTGAGACTGTTATCTTTCTCTCTCTCCCTCTCTCTTTGTCAGTTGTGGGGCTTTAACTCTGGGCTTGGGCTCTATTTCTGCGCTCTTCAGCTCAAGGCGAGCACTCTACCGTTTGAGCCACAGTGCCACTTCCGGTTTTCTTGTGGTTTATTGGAGATAAGAGTTTCACAGACTTTCCTTCCTGGGCTGGCTTTGAGCAGTGATCCTCAGATCTTAGCCTCCTCAGTAGCTAGGATTACAGGCATGAGCCAATGGTGCCCGGTGAAACTGTTATCTTTAATAAACTACTCAAAAAAAGCCAGAAGTGGAGTGGTGGCTCATTTGTACAGCACTAGCCTTGAGCAAAAAGAATCTCAGGGACAACACCCAGGCCCTGAGTTCAAGCCCCAGGACTGGCATGTGTGCATGGGTGCGCACATGTGGGCGTGTACACACAAATTCCATATTATTTTGCATATGTTTTTATGCCTCAAAATTAGACAAGTTGGGCGCCTGTGGCTCACACCTGTAATCCTAGCTACTCAGGAGGCTGAGCTCTAAGGATCATGGTTGGAACCTCTTGGGCAGGAAAGTCTGTAAGCCTCTTATCCCCAATTAAGCACCAAAAAAGTAAAAAAAGCCAGGAATGGAGTGCTAGCCTTGAGCAGAAAAGCTCAGTGAAAGACATTTCACTTTCTTTGAATATTTAAATATTAACTAATAAAATATTACTGGAAAGCCTGCTACTTTTAGAAGTGTAAGTCACTAGCAGGAAGGGTGTGAGCATGTAGAACAGTAGCCAGCACACCTGGCCTTGTGGAAAGGAAGTGATAGAGGAGCGCAGTCATAGCCGTACGCACGTTATTTATGTTGAGACACAGGGCTCAGTGTGCACAGCCTGGGGGTCTTTACTGTCTGATCTTTTCCAGCAAATGTTGGCCACGCCTTACCATAGAATAGCAGTTCTTAACATCTGTGGTCTCCAAATCGGTTTACATTCTTAAAAAATAACTGGAGACTCTAAAGAATTCTTTCAGTTGGGAACTGCCTTAATCAGGCCAATGAGCATTTTAAGTCAAGTTTATAGCCTTCTTGTGGTTCAGGCTTGGGTAATTTAATGTGCGTATGTATGCATGTATATGTGTATGTATGTATGTGCCGGTATTGGGATTTGAACTCAGGGTCTGGTGCTCTTGCTTGGCTGGTTGCTCTACCACTTGAACCTCAGCTTTCCTTCTGGATTTTTGCTGGCTAATTAGAGTTGAGTCTTTCAAATTGATCTTCCCTGGGTTGGCTCCAAACCACGATCCTCAGATATCCATCCCCTTGAGTAGCTAGGGTTATAGGCACAAGCCATTGGCGCCCGGCAGTTTTCCTATTCTTGAACACATCCCCCAATAGAAGGGAAATATGCCTGAAAACGTCCTGTTTTTTGTTTATCTGTATCACCTGTGTGCATTTTCACAATAATAAAATTTTTTTTTCAGATAATGTCATTGGGTGGAATTAGGTCATTTTCTGCTTTGCTCCAACTCAAAACTCTTCTTGGTCCAAATACTTGCACTCTTGGAATTGACCACTAGATGTCATGAGTGCCACAGGAGCATTCTGGGCTAGCCAGAGAGGGCAGAAATTGAACATTGTAAGCTCATAGACCTACACAGATTTCACTGTTTTCCACGTGATCAATGCCAGAAGAACCCGATACAGTGTGATATATAGAAGCAAGGTACAACTGGAATAATGAAATTTCAAAAATAAGCCTTTTTAAAGGAGGGTTGCAATCATTTCTACTGGGTATTGTAAATGCTTTGGGTGCATTTGATACTTCTGTTATGTTCCTGGCATTCAGGCCTTTCTCTTTTTTATGGAAAGATGGATTGAACTTCAATTTAAGAATAGCCAGTAATCCCTTTCAGGACATACTGTCACAGCTGGTATTTTTGTGTTGTAGTAAATTGATTCCATACAACAGTCAGTAATAATTATGGCTGGGTTCTGACAAATTCCAAAGCATTTTCAATAAATTTAGCCAAAGAAAATAACATTATTACACAAAAATTTAACTCAATTTGAAAAGTCAAACCCAGTGGCGCTACTTCATTCCACAAATGTTAGGTATTTTCCTGGTTAGGATTCTATGAAATCATCTTTGAAAATCTGTCTGTTTTGAGAAGATAATCACTTTGTAGTATGTGAACTTAGAAGACAATACACTGTAGTGAATATAAACATTGAATGTCCATTATGTAATTAAAAAATGAGAAATTCCATTCATATGTGGCAGCATGGGCTCTAAAGGATGATCCACTGTGAGATATAAGATTTTCCTTAGTATTAATGAAAGGCGAATGTGCCAAATCATATCTGATTTTCATTTTGTTTGCTATATGCATTTTGACTCATGTGATCTATGAGATTTATGAAAATGAAACCTTGTAAATCCTTTAGCTATCAAGAAAGTGGCAGATTGCATGGTATACATAAATGTAGAATATATATTTATTTCTATGCATTGAGGGGTGATCTATATACCATCCCAATTGTAACTTTTCTCATGGAGTGAAGAGCTTAAATTACATGAGTTCATAGACAAAATATGTATTCACATAACACATACATTGCCGTAAGCGTGATAACTGTACGTATATGCAGGCACTTCATGAATTTTAAGGTTATTCCTTTGTTTCTATCAGTAGTCTTTAAATTATGCTTTTTACTTTCGTTTTTTTTATGAGCTACTTCATTTTGACCTTTGCTTTATATGAAGACTATTTTAAGTAGGCAAATACTAATCCTGATTAGAATAATTTATGAAACCAATGCAAAGTTGCCTTTTAGTTTAGTAGGAAAACAAAGCAAAACTCCTAAGCTGGGCATTGAAACCTGGCTTTGCCTTTTTCTTTCGTTTAAAAATTTTATTTCGGCAGTTAGTATTTTCACTTGGCATTTAAAATAACAGCCTTCATATTTTAATTAGCCCTTATTTCTGTATGGATTTTTTTTTTTTTTTTACTCTGTCAGGCTTTAAGACATCACAACAGATAGAAAGTATATTTGATGGTGAGTTTTCTATATAGACTTTCACTTTGATAGCTAAAAGGCTAATTAGCTAACCTAGAAGTCTTTAATGGATTCTTTCCCATTCATTTTTCTTTATTCTATATTATGAATCAGCAATTTAAAGGCTTTAGGAATTGAACAAGTGTTTTCAGTGTTTATAATGCTGATTTTCTTGTGTCAGTGATACATATTAGAATATATTTTTAAATGACTGGATTTCCTGAATGAAGAGCTGGGGAAATGTGTTACAAGTGAACTGACACAGTGTACAGTTGTAATTTTTACAGAAATGTAAATGGAGGGTAGTTTCCATTATTAGACAACAATGGTCTAAATGTAAACCATATGGTCTCTTTTTAGGTGTTAGGCCAATGTAAATTTTAATCTTTCTACTTTATTTCTTATTTCAATTTTATAATCATACCTGAATTACAAAAGTGTAGCCTTAATGTTTGTTTATAGTTTGCAAGACACTGCGTTGTATGTCGTAGCATATTTAATTTTTGCCATTTTAAGTCACTCTCTCCATTTGCTTATAAGGAATTTCAAACTTAATAAGACGGAATAAGTTGTCCAAGATCACAGAGTTAGCAGGATTAGCATTTACACCAACATTGAGCTCTTTCATGTAGCTATTATGCTGTACTGCCTTTACTCTTATTTTGGGATAAACATTAGCAAGGAAGCTTATGGAAAAAATATTATTATTTTCTAAGCTACAGCAAAGCTTAGATTTTAGTAAAAGAATCTACTTATTAACTTGACCGTAAGGCCTGGTGTAGATTACTAGTGCTTCTGCAAATCCATCTCATAATTTTTAGTGAAATTTCTTTAAAAAATATTGTTTGTAGTTTTCAGTTCGAGAACTCTGCAATGGTCATGTCAGAACGAGTGCTGAAAATTCATCTGGTCTCTGTTGATACATTTGGAAATACACCTAGAACTATGATAACAGAGGGAAGGAATTTTAGACCAGGGTTGACTTACTTAAAGCTCTCCATGTGTCAGATCAGCAGCCCCCACACCAAATGTGAAAAAAAAAAAAATCTTTAAGGAAGCCTTGTTACGTACCCGGGGCGATTTCATGTTTTCAATTAGAAATCACACATCAGAATCACAGCCTCTCGCTGTGCGCGTCTGCACCGTTGCCTGTGGAAGAAAACTGCAGAATTATGATCTCTCAGTAGTGTGTTGGAATAAAATATGTGAATTGGTTACTTGTTGCAGTTTAACGATATTTTAAAATATGGTATGTGTGTATATATATATATATGTATATATTCTTTTCTTTCTAGAAACAACTTATGCCACACGTATGTTGATCGGCCGCGTGGCAGTACACCATTGAACTTGAGCTCCCTGCGGCTTTCTGAGTTAGGAGAGTGGAGGGCCTCTCCTCCCCAGCAGCCTGCGTCATGCCAGCCCTGTCCACAGGCTCTGCTAGTGACACAGGTATGTGAACCCCAGTTGCCCTCCCCTCTCTCTCCAGTCTAGTCAATCGCAGCGGGGCAGCTTTGCTCTATGTGGGGGGCAAACAGCTTCTGCTTGGTTTTGCTGTGTAAAATCAACTCTTCTTGTTGTTAGCTTTCTCTAGCGTGCATCTAGTTGTCTTGCTTTTTGGCATTATCCTATGGATTTCATTTGGAAAAATCAGATATTTTACATGTATGGAAAAGGCTGGCAAATATCTACCCAGAATGCTCTTCACTCAGGTTTAACAACAGACAAGGCTCCACCTCTGGCCACCCTTACTTCAGACTTCTTGTCTTTTTTAACTTTAAGGATGAAAACACCCTTCCTATTCCATTCCCTTTATTTTCTGTCTCCCTGTCCCTAAATGTAAAATCCAGATTCAGTCAAGACTACCAAAAAAAACACCTACCTCAAAACATGCATTTCAGATCAGTTGTAGGATTTAAGGGATACCTGCGATAAATAATTCTAAGAACAAGTCCCCCTCCCCCATTGCATGTATGTAAAATGGGCCTTTTCTGACCAGAATCATGGGGTGCAGTGGGGATACTAGACAGCTCCATGAAGTACTTCTCTGGTTTCTTAGAAGCAGCACTGTTGAAAAGTGTTATTCCTGGGTTCTCTAAGAACTATTAAGGATATGGGGGATATGTTGGGGGATCTAATTCAGTGGTGGAACGTATGCTTAGCTTGATGAGGCACTGGCTTCAATCCTTAGCACCAAAAGAAAAGAAAAGAATTACGAGTAACATTGTTGGCCGTGCTATGTTTTGTTTTGTTTTTGTCGGTTGTGGGGCTTGAACTCTGGGCCTGGGTGCTGTCCCTGAGCTCTTCAGCTCAAGGCTAGCACTCTACAACTTGAGCCACAGCACCACTTCCAGCTTTTCTGAGTAGTTAATTGGAGGTAAGACTCTCATGGACTTTCCTGCAGGGGCTTTTTTTGTTTGTATGTTTTCTTTTGTGCTGCTCCTGGGGCTTGAACTCAGGGCCTGGGTGCTATCCCTGAGATTCTTTTTCTTAAGGCTAGCACTTTATCACATTAGCCACAGCACCACTTCCAGCTTTTCTGAGTAGTTAATGGGAGGTAAGACTCTCATGGACTTTCCTGCAGGGGCGGGCTTTGACTCACTATCCTGAGATCTCAGCCTCCTGAGTAGCTAGGATTACAGATGTGAGCCACTAGCATCTGGTGCATGCTATGCATTTTTCTGCCTCTTTTTTTGGGGGGTAGGAGGGTCCAGTCATGGGGCCTGAACTCTGGGTCTGGGCGCTGTCCCTCAGCTCTTCAGCTCAAGGCTAGCGCTCTACCACTTGAGCCACAGTGCCACTTCCAGCTTTTTTTCTGCTCATGTGGTGCTGACGAATCGAACCCAGAGCCTCATGCATGCAAGGCAAGCGCTCTACCACTGAGCCACCTTCCCAGCCCCAAGGGATGATATTTTTTAACACTGAAGTTTATACTGAGAATTAGTTTTGTCAGGAAGAAATTATTATTAAATTACATATACACATATCCCTCTCAAGACTTTAACTTGGAATCTAAGTCCTTTGGACAATATTTTGTTTCTTGTTTTTTAGCTTTTAGACAATCCCACGTATGTTCTACTACATGAAAAGAGCAAAGAGTTCATCTTCCATAATGGTTTGAGAAAATATAGGTAAACTTTGAAATCGAAATATACTGCAGTTGTTTTATAGTAAGGCTGATACTTATTATCCCTCTCCTCCCACCTTCTTAGTTTAATTGAATGTAAAATACTGTTGCTTACCTATAATTCAGAGGACGATAAAATGGAGTATTGATAGTTTATGCAGCAGTTTGCTGTCAGTCATAGAAACCAGCCTGGCCTGTGTAGGATTTACAAAGAGCTTTTTCACACATGGAGGTTTTGCTTCATGCAAATCTAAAGTGCCAAGTCGTTGACACCTAGCTCTGTGACATTTTTGACCTTTTGTCTCAGCATGGTTTGAGTCAGGTCTGTTCTAAGGTCGATATTTATAGTCCCCTCCTACGATCTCCTTGTCCAGGCCAGTTGAGCAGTCTTGGGGTCATTTTTACCATATGTCAGCAGTGTTGCCTGGCAATCTGGTTTATATTATTCGATCACCAGGACTCTGGGAGAATTAAGTTTAGAGTATCACTGATGGCCAGAGACCCACATAAGGGAAGAAAAGTGACCTAATCATGCGGGAAAATGGTTTCAATGTAAAGCGTTTAGTTCTTCTTTTTCACTTCCTTTCTGCTTATTTCACTAAGGAAAAAAAAATTATGATAAAGATCTAACATGGAAACATTCCCTTTTATTCCAGTCTCACTTTTTTACTTAGTTTGCTCCATCTCCTTCTCAAGTTTTTTGATACACACTTGCATAGGCCGAGGAGCTGAGCAAGGGCCTGCTTAGCCTATGTGAATGAACCCCCAGACACACACACACACACACACACACACACACACACACACACACACACACACACACACACACACATTCTCTCTCTCTCTCTCTCTCTCTCTCTGTATTTGAGTCTCTAATCACAGATTTTAGTCTATGCTGTGGATTGTTCTTTGTCTACAACAAACGATGCATCTTCTAGGGAGATTTCCATAAATAAATAAATAAATAAATATCCTGGTGTATCATGCTCTAACTTATTTGCAGAATTTCTTCATTTATGTTTTTAATATCAATTCTTTAGGTTTTGTTTTTTTTTTTGGTCCAGTCGTGGGGCCTGAACTCTGGGCCTGGGCACTGTCCTTCAGCTCTTCAGCTCAAGGCTAGCACTCTACCACTTGAGCCACAGCATCACTTCTGGCTTTTTTTTTTTCTTTTTGCTTATGTGGTGCTGGGGAATCGAATCCAGGGCCTCATGCATGCAAGGCAAGCGCTCTACCACTGAGCCACCTTCCTAGCCCCTTAATTCTTTAGGTTTTATAGGTTGAACTTCATTTCTTCTAGTCAGTTGTTTGTCCTTTTGGACCACAACTCCACTTCTGGCTTTTTAGTTAATTGGGGATGAGTCTCTCAAATTTTTGTCTTCCAGGGCTGGCTCTGAACTGCGATCCTAGGATTCTCAGTCTCCTGAGTAGCTAGAATTGCAAGTGTAGGCTATTGGTGCTCAGCCCATTTCTTTTGTATAGTTTGAAACTTTTTTTTTTGTTTTCTTGAATTCAGAACCTGGCTGCTGTCCATGAGCTTCTTCTGCTCAAGGCTAGTGCTCTACCACCTGAGCCACAGCTCCATTTTTTGGTAGTTAATTGGAGATAAAGAGTCTCATGGCCTTTCCTCTCTGGGTTGGCTTTGAACCACGGTCCTCAGATCTCTGCTTCCTGAGTAACTAGGATTGCAATGTGAGCCACTGGCACACATAGTTGGAAACTTTTTTATAATGAAAGCAATCTTTGGTTATTGATTTATTTTCTATTGTGTAAGTAGGCCTTTCCAATCCTAAGACTCTAGAGATCTTCTCAAAGATTTCTTCTAATAATCATGAAAATTTATTTATACACATTTGGAATTTTAATCCAAAATTGTAATTTGGATGTGGGGTGAGACAATAATTGAATCTTACATAATTTTAATTTCCCATATGAAACGTTAGTGGTGAGAGAATCACGTGTTCAGAGTTCTATTCTTTCCATGTAAGTTTGTGCAGCCACCTCTATATCAGTGTCCCGTGTGCTTTGATTTTCTCTCTTAGCTCTCATCATCTGTTGATTTTATCCTAAAAATTTCTTTTTCTGGTTCTGTTTTGCCTTTCTTGAAACAGAGTTTTACTAAATATACCAGGCTGGCCTCAAATTTGTGAGCCTCCTGCCTTTGCCTCCCGAGTGCTGGGATTTCAGGTATATACTACCATTCTCAACTCAAAACATTTTAGTAGAATTTTTAAAACAACTTTAGCATTACAGAGAAATCCCCAAAATTGTGTGCACAGAGTTCCAACATGGCTCACACCTAATTTAGTAGTAACATTTTATATTAGTTTATATTAGTGTGGTAAATTTCTTTTGATTAGTGAATGAATGTTGATACCTTGATATTAACTATAATCTATGCTTGATTCAGAGTTCTTAGTTTTTCCCTAATGTCTAGGTTCACATTCAGGTTACCATATGACAATCAGTAGTCATTCTTACTAGGCTGCTGTTGGCTGATACAGTATTGCAGACTTCCTCTGACTTTGGTGATTTTTAACAATTTTGAGAATTTGGGGAGTACTAGGCATGATATAGGGTTGACTTCTATGTGAATTTGTCTTGCTTATACTTCCTTTGCTTTTCATCCCTCCTTATTGGCATTTGAGTAGACAGATTTGGTTGACAGATGCCCTGCTACTTCAACAATCCAAACACTATTTGTTTCTTCAGTTCTTTTTGGATAGAATTTCAAATGCATTCCTGGGCAGGCCTGAACTATGTTCTTCCTATTTATGTTTCTCCTATTTTATGGTGTGTATGTGTGTGTGTGTGCGCGCGCTCAGGAATTGGGTGTTGTCCCTTCGCTTTTTTGCTCAGGGCTGGCACTCTACCACTTGTTCTAGCACTCCCCTTCTGGCTTTTTGGTGATTAACTGGGAGATAAGAAGCCCTTGGGCTTTCCTGCTTAGGCTGGCTTTGAACCATGACCCTTAGATTTCAGCCTTTTGAGCAGCTAGGATTGCAGGTCTGAGCCACCCATCTTGAACATGGCTTCAGAATCAAAATTGTTTATTCATGGTACATAACTTTAGAGAGCTGATCTTGTTCCTTGTATTTCTTAGGAGTAGTATATTAAAAAAAATCCCATCGAATCATTCATTTCCTGCATAATACCTATGTTAGTTTTAGTTTTATAATTTCATTAAGTATGATTTGTACAAACATATAATGGGAAATATAATATCTGTGCAGAAATGAAAGTAAAACTTTTATAAGTACAGTTTTAAAAATGCTTATAACAAAATATCTCTGGGGCTACCACCCAGGTTAAGAAATAGAACAGC